AAATACTTAGGTGAAAAAAGTAAAATAATTTTCTCTCATATTGTTTGGTAGAAGATAAAAAAAAGTGAAAAGAAAATGTCAAATTTAAAGCATTTTACAATAATACTTCATACAAATAAAAATATGATGAATGGTGAATGTTAGAATTGTTATTTTACATCTCATTTGTTTGTTAAACTTTTTCTCTTTTCTTTTCTTCATAAAGTTAGAAAGATTAAAAATTAGTGGGCCCCATGAATTTTCATTTTCTTTCATTTCTCATTTTTGTCTACCAAACAACCTAAAATTTCATTTTCCTTTACAAAATCCTTCTTCTATTTTCGTTCCTCTCTCTTTTCCACCCTACGAAACGCACTGTTAGTGTGGTATTGTACTTCATTCACCATACAACTAGCATAGGATTGAATACTAAAATTAGGTACGTTGGATATTGCATATAAGTTCTTCGGGATCCCGTTGATGGAGATTCCGCATTCATAGCTCTAATATGTGACAATAACGGCATAAGATGTGAAATGAGATCGATAGAAAAAATACCGCAATTATAAGGAAAATAGAAGTAAGATTATCTCATCTCCAAACCACCTAGGAAACTCAGTCAGTTCTACAAATAGAATATCACGAATACCTTATGATTGCAATATTGCGGCATGTTCACTGATAATGTTTACGAAAAGGTAATCAATGTTACGATTATACAATGACATGAAAGAGACTAGGGTGCGTTTGGAATTGGTTTTAAAATGATTTTGTTTTTAATAAACAGTAAAAATGAGCTAGTTTGAAGAATCAGTCCGGGACCGATTCTGAAATTGCGTTTGGTTGGTTTTTTAAGAAATTATTTTGAATATAATAAAAAAGTAAAATCGTATTTATTAATTAATATATTATAATATTATTGATAAGTACAAAAATGAAAACATAAAAAGTAAAAATAACTTTCAATTATTTTCTAATTTCTTCATAAAAACCATTCTAATTGTTTTCGTTTTAATTTTTATTTTCAAAACATTTGTTAAACAAATGTCGATTTGTTTTCATTTTCATTTTTTGCCTTTCGAAATACGAGAAAACCGTTTTCAAATACGGTTGCAAACACGCACTAAATTTCGAGTATGTCTTGTTGGGCTAGAGGTAGGCTGAAGACATGGAGTGGATTTGTGCATGCGAAGGCCAATCTTTGAGGAAGCAAACGTCGTAGGTTCTATTTTCCTGCAGTTTTGCTACAAACTTATAATTCTAAAGGATTGTAAGTGCATTCAAGCAAAAAATAAAAGGATTGTAACTGTAATTCAAAGTCAAACAATTCCTTCATTATATCTAGTGGGATCTTGAGTTGATGTAGCGCCAAACACCGTCTCCGACCTCCGAGGCGTGGTTACTGGAATAGAGGGTTCTGTTATCGGTGCCGGTATGGCTCCCATGTACAAGTATTGCTTCACTTCCCTCACCCTCTTCAGATCTACTCTTTTTGGTCTCTGATGTCGTAGTTGTTGGTGCGTTGCCAGGAGTTATTCCGTGTGGTCGGTGCCTCTCATCCATTTCATATAAGTTGGTTTTATTTAATAATAGCGTTGTTTTATCCGCCTCTTTAAGAAGAAGTTTCGTTCGTTAGTTCAAAATCATGATTCATGATTCTGATTTTTAAAATTTAAATTTTTTATGAGAGAAAAACACTGTAGCAGAATCAAGAATCATGATCCTAAACCAGACAGAACTTTTGAAATAAACGTCACCTAATTGTTTTTTTTTAATGTTATTTTGGTTTTACTTTTTAATAATTGGGGTGGTTTCTCGATCTTTTAATTTTGTTTATGTGTCATTCACTAGAGTTCATTTTTACGCTTTTGTGCGTGACCTTATGTAATTTTAGGCTCTTAGTCTCAATCGACCAGAGTTCTAAATTCACCGTAGAGGTATTATTGAAAGAGACATGAACTCTCAATTGTTGTAGGGTATTTTTTTTATTTCCTGTTGTTAGAACTAGGTGCATATTTGGTTCTCTTGTGCATTTCATTAGAACTTACTACTGGAACCAGTCAATGGTCAGAATTATAATTCTTTATATTAGAGCAACTCCAACTATACTAGTTATTTCATGTTTGTAGCTTAAATAACTAATGATTTAGCTAGAATTTAGCTTTTCTCTACTCCAACCATTAGCTAAATAGTTAGTTATTTTAAAGAACTCATTTCACACAAGCTAAATATAACTAATAAGAAGTGGTTAGCTATTTGATTTTTTTGTATTATTTTATTGTTTCAATCCATAATAAATGCAAAGGTTCTTTTAGAATTCAATAAAGTTATTTATATTTTAAAACTCAATAAACATTAAAACAATCTACACTTAAGTAAAATAGGAAGTATAATTGGAGTGTATCACCCAAAAATTGCTAACTAAAATAATTTTCTAGCTATTTTAGTTCAAATTTAGAGAGCTTTCTTAGAAATACTCTTACGAGGTCATTTATGTTAGTATTAAAGTGTTTATTTTCTTGATCTGATATATAATTTTCCTTTTAAAAAATAAGTATTAAAGTAATTTGATTATGCTCCTAAAAAATTTGATAACATTATTTGTTGCTAAGCTACAAATGAAAAAGGAAAATCTCAAAATGTTTGCAAAATTAAAATAAAAATAAAAATAAAAACTACGCCAACAAGCGATTGTGGCCCCCCATCAAACAATACATGATTTTAGTTAGAAAAAATGAGACAAATACTCTTTAGAGTGCGTGAATCTGGATTCTTACTATTTATTCTTGATTATTATATATATTTTTTAAATATATATTAGTTAAAAGTGTATTAATCAAGAATAAATAATAAAAATCCAAACTCATACACTCTAAGGTAAGAAGTATTAATTTTCTCTTTTAATTGCCCAACTCAAATAATTGGGATAAAGAGGATTTAGACAAGAAAAACAAGATCCTAATTTTGACAAGAAAAACAAAACCCTAATCAATGGGCAGCAATAATGGGTTGATTATCCTAAACAAGCAATTAATTATTAAAGGGGATTAAAAAAATCAAGAGACAGATAGTAAAATATACTTTGAAGAGCCATTAAAATCCTTAATATCTTTTTTTCATATTAATTTTCTTTTTTTCCATTTTTGTACGAGAAATTTTTTTTTTATAAAAAAAAAAAAAAAAAAAAAAAAAAAAAAAAAAACTTGGAGAGAAGTGTTAGTGCAGAAAGTGAAGGTTAGGTGCCACATATAAAAGCTAGACAATGGCACCCAACTGTAACCCGTGAAATTATTAACATCACCCATTAATGTTTAGTCCCTCAAGACCCCCATAAGGCCCAAAGACCCTTTATATACATGTATGTATGTATACATATACACACACACACATATATATATATATATTCCATCACGCGTAATTAACTCTATTAAATGCAACAGCCTGTAACACAAAGACCTCTTTCCTCACGATGTTTGTGGCAAGGTTTTTAAAATTTTTTGAGAAAAAATTCCCTATCAAACCCAATATTGTACCAAAGTTTCTTTATCAGTATTTAGTTAGCATGTGGTACTAGCTACTAAAAGAACATAAAATTTGACGTCTGTACCAAATATAATACACGAACAAATAAAAATTCCACATTTTCTTGTGATTACATGTTAAAATAACCTCATACCTCGTTGTCTATTTAACATTTTTTTTTTTTAGACTCTTAAAAAAAGACTGAAGGTTATCGTCTTGTTCTTTTTTCAAAAAAAAAAAAACAGATAAACTAAAAATTAGTTAATGATTCTGAATGATTAGCATGTGTGTGTTCACAAATGTTTGTCTAATTATTGACATTTTCTATTATATCATATGCTAATACGCGACAATAAGGACCAAAAGTGAGAATTTTATGATGGCATTAGAAGTTTTTTTTTTTCCTTTGTTTTTTTTTTTTAAAGGAACTTGTATTTGAGTCAAATACAAACAGAAGAAGAAACACGTGAAGGGACGACTGAAATTCGAAAAAAAAGATAACCTTGATACAATAAGGCTTCGTTCACTTTGCGGATTCAAGTTTTCAATTCGAACTGAGATATAACATTTTCTGAGAGCTTTTCACTGTAGCAGAAAAAGTTAGATGTGATATTTTCTGAGAGCTTTTTACTGTAAAAACTTAAAACTGAAAACTTGAATCGGTGAAATGAATTAGGCCTAAATTAAAATAAAGCTCTATTAGCAGTTGAAAAATTAATAGAAAACTAAAAAGGAGTTGTTTGCGTTTCAATTTTGAATTTGAAAACCCACCTCAACATTTATTATGCTTTTATATGTCCCATTTAATTGTGATGTCTAACATAACATGTACGTTTGACCATATTTATTGTTGATGATGCAAAAGACAAACTTTCCAGTTTCCAGTTTCTTTCCTTCTCTTCAATTGTACCGCTTTCCATGACAATAGCTATCTGCTTCTGCTTGTGAAGTAGTTAAAGTACTTATATTGGCCACTATATAGAAAAACCATACAGATTGTACAATAGAAGTTCAATTTAAATATTGGAATTTAACTAACTCTTTTATTTAGCCTAGAAATTAGGGGGGGCAAAACAAGGGGAAGCAAAACCTTTATGTGCTTTGATAGAACTATATTCACCAATATCTTCACTTGATTTTGACTATTAATTTCTTTTCTTTTCTAGCAAAAAAATTCTTCCTTTTTTTTTTTTCTTTTTTTCCTGGCAGGCTGTTGATTGTTGTTAAAAAAGAAAGTAAGAACTAGTCAGTTATGGTAATTGGCTCCAAAATCAGATTATTATAGAAAGGATGAATACAGAAAGTGATAATAGGGGACAAAAATATATAGCAACAAAATCCTAAAAGTATGGAAATCTAATAATAATTATAAATAAAAAAGACAACATACAAATCCTACAGTTCTAGCATAATTTTTATTACTGTTTTTTAATAAGAAACCAAGAAATAAACCATTTTGCAATAAAATGCAAAAATCTTTTCTATCAAGATGTGTCTTTCTTTCCTACTACTTTCTTTCACAATGTTTCTTCTTTTCTTTTCTTTTCTTTTTTTCCACCTTCTACAGATCACCCGAATTGTGTGTTCCAAACAGAATAATTATTTATCTAAAACCAAAAAATAAAACAAAAATAAATAAATAAAAACAAAAATCAAGGATTAGGAGCATCAAAAGATGAATGAACAACCTTGTTCTGTCTCCCCATAAGCCAAAGCAGAGTCCTCCTTGCAAAAGATGGTGGATTTGACTGAGAATCCAAACTATTACAACAACTCCTATTCTCTTCCTCTTCAAAACCCAATTCAGTTCGTTCATTTTCCCATCTCCCAGCGCCAATCTCAGACACTGTTCTTCTCGGAAACTTTTCATTTTTGCCCTTCAAATCCTCCCCTGCAACTCCATTGCTGCTCCTCTGCATAGGGAACCTGAAAGAGAAAGCCCTCCTCGAACAATCCCTCGGGTTTCGCGAATCCGAGAGCTTGGACGAGGAAAAGCTCTCTGTTTTCGAAACGCGAGCATTCATTAGAGAATTAACGGAACTGAACTCGAATTCCCTTCGAGACTCGCAATCACATTCCGATATCGCCGCCCGGCTCAGCCCCGGCTTCGACGGCAGAGAAGCCTTCTTGTTCGAGCTCTTCTTCAATGGCGTTCTAATGGGCACTCTTAGATCTGAACTCTCGTCCATCACATAAGCAAAAGACCCCATTGAAAAACACCTTCTCGAATCAACATTACTCGAATCATTAGCAATACTACTACTTCCTTCACCATTATCAACATTCCTAAACTTCCCAAGCTTCACAGTCACAACTTTCTCCTTCTCCTTGCATTCAACCACAGCCGTCGGATTGGACTCCTCCTTTTCTCCTTCATCAACGGGCGAAATCTCTTGCTCAACCTCTCCGCCGTTTTCCACCGCAATCTCTCTGGAACTCTCGCTTCCGGACTCGAGCACCAAAACGACAGGAGAAAAGTTGTCGTTTGGTGAGAAATCCTGCAACAAACTGGCTCTACACAAAGGGCAAGTAGAATGAGAAAGCAACCATGTGTCAATACACTCCATGTGAAAAGCGTGGCTGCATTTGGGCAAGAGTCTAAGCTTGTCGTCCGGATCAAACTCACACAAACAAACCGCACAATCAAAAGGATTTTTCAATCCTATAATGGCCTTATAATGAAAAACCGGTAAATTGTCAATAAAAGACTGATCTACCCCTGCGTCATGGAGATGGAAAAGTTGCTGAAGCTGGCCTTGGAGAGCACTGACGCTTTCTAAGTCGTCCCGATCACGGTTTGGGGGTCTTAAGAGGAATCTGACCAAAAGATGGAGTAAACCAGAAACGAAGAAGATTATGGCTAGGATGACTATTATGAGCAATATGCTTGGGCTTACTTTTGTGTTGAAGTTGAAGGATTCTTGTGGTGGGGATGGTGGGGGCTGGGAAATGAAGTAGGATTGTTGCTCGGTCGGGGATAAGAATGGCTTTTCTTTGGTCTGAAGGAGTGAACTTGCCATGGCTTTTGAGATTTTCTGCTTTCAGGGAGGATCAAGAAGAGATTTCAGGACCTTTTTGCCATGTTTTTCTTTTGTTGGGGGGAGAAACAGAAATTTAACAAGATTGAAGATTCTGGGTTGGATTCAGGAATCCCATCTGGGGTTGCAATGTTAAGAAAACACTGAAGGTTTGAGCTTTTTGGAGGATCTAGAGGAAATCAGGGCCTTTTTGTCATGTTTTTGTTTTGTCGGGAAAGAAACAGAAATTTAACAAGATGGGAGATTTTGGGTTGGATTCACTAGTGTTTTGTGGAATCACATCTGGGGTTGTGATGGAAGAAAGTCACAAATGCAAAAGAATGGAAGAAAAATGGAGAAAAATGAAAAGGGTGTTTAGGAAAAGTGTGGTTCTTATGGGGTTGTGATGATGGATGTGGAAGAAAATAGGGACCTTTTTGATGGAGACCTCAAATGGGGTTTGTATGAAATTGTTTTTTTCTAACTGCAAGAGGAACCTGCAGGTCAAATTTTAGAGTTAAACTTAAATGGCTTGTAAGGGCAGAAATAAATGGTGACAGAGGTGAGTTTTCAAAAAGGAGTAATAAATAAATAAATCTACCAAAATTGAGAAAGTAAATTATATTACAGATCATTAGGGCAAAAATATTGAACTGTCAATACCATACATGGCAAAACTTATTTTTTTTTTTTTTTTTTTTTTTTTTTTTTTTTTTTTTTTTTTTGCTACAACATACATGGCAAAAACTTAAAGAGAAAACAAAATGATATGAGAAAAAAAAAAATTGACCTTATTATATGATTTCATGAAAGGCATAGACCTTTCTGGTTGACTTCAAAGAAACCCTGGCATCAACACCAAAGCGCAATTAATATTCCAAGCTATAAAATTATGGACTTCACATGGAAATGATAACCTCAATAGGTGTAAATCCAATTTTCATTTTTTTTTAATGTTATCTTTCACTCTCTGATCGCATTCTTTTCAGTTTCTTCTATTCCGTTTCCAATCTGAAAGCCTGTTGGAAATGAATCTGAGAACTCCCTCAATACGACAAAAAGATAGGTGAAAATAACAAAGTCCAAAGAGAGAGATAACTAAATTATCCAAAAAAAAAAAAAACATAGAGAGAACTAGAGTTATGAAGAGGCCCAAAGAAATATTTCAAAAACTAAAATATATATTTCTAAAAAGCAATTTGAGGAGCCTAGGATACGGTATATTTTAGTATTATTTTATATAAATAATAAAAAAAAAAAGGATTTCTCTGGAATCTGGACCCCAAAGCATGGGAAGTAACACACTTACTTTGAGTCTTTTCTCAAACATTTTATTTATTTATTTATTTTTGGTATTGACTTTTAAATATGCTGCTAAAAGAAGAGCCAGGGATAGAACCAAGAACCCAAATAGAAGGGTCTCTCGCACTTTCTGTTTCCTCAGTGACACTTTGATGCTTTTGTTTTTTTTGGAGCACTTGAGCGAACAAAAGAAGAATGGAAAAGGCCAAAAACATGAAAGAGAAGATGAAAAAAAAGGTGTTTTGTACTTGGCATGAGTGAATCATTTACACATATATGCTTGGCTTGGCGCCAAATGGAGCTTCCACTACTTTTGACAAATGAAATACTTGATTTTTTTTTTCTTTTTTTTTGGGTATTCAAGTGAATTCACTATCTTCAATGGATAAAATGTTTTAACTGTAAGTAACATTGTAAAGTAGAATTAAAGAAAGTGACTGGGCATGATAATTCTAGCATAATCAAATTAAGAAAGTGACTAGAATCAAAGAAGCTGGAAATAGGATAGAATTGATGTTAAATATTGTGGCCCACGTACCCTATTTTTACGGAATTATGTTTTATTTAATTAAAAGTTAATTATGATTTAACAATTATTTTTGTGTCAAAATTTTAATTGATTTGTTTGAAAAGTGAGTGCTTTCTTGATGGAACGTGTAATCTTAATACCTTATTAGAAATTGGTTCTCTCTATAGTTTTTCTCTTCATCAAAAAGTGCTTGTCAAACTAAAGGGGTCAAAAGAAAAAGGAAAAAAAAAATAGATAGTTTCATCAAATCGCTTTAGCAAGTTCAATCTTCATAAGAAACTGAAACGAATCAAGGTATTTTCTCTTAATTATTTATTTATATATTTTGTATGTGAAAATTATAAAGTTCAATGATTTGAGAATTAGGACAATGCATAATTATTCTGCACAAGTTAAGTCATGAAATCCTTACAATTTTACCGTAGTTAGAAAAAAAATTAAAATAACAAGGCATATATTACAAACACAAAATGCTTACAACAAATTCAAAACGCAATGAAAAAAAGAGGTTCAAAACATGGGTTAATATCATAAATAAATAAATAAATATTTCGGTTTCTTGTTTTTTTTACGGGTGGGTTTTTAGCTTATTTTTCTCTCTTTTTTTATAGAAAGTTTTTAGAGCTTAGTTTCGAAATCACAGATTCGTCTCCTTGAATAAATAAGACAAGATAACCATGTATCGTTAAAGCTAAAGAAACGAAATGAAAAGACAACATAACCACCAAGGGAGAGACACAGAAACAAATAATTAAAGACACGTTAACGTATACGTATGCATATAGTATATTTGTGCTTAGTTCTTGCAAACAAAAACAAATATATATATATATATATATACATGACATCACTATATACTTATATTGTGCTTTAGCAAAAAATATATATATATATATATAAATGTGCGCGGGCGTCTATGAATTTTTTATTGTGCTAATTCTAATTAATTAATGTGCTAGTTCTAATTTATATTATACGTAAGATCAGAATATAAGGTGACAAAAAATTCTTATAGTATGAGTTTGAATTTTTATCTCTTTATTATTGATTAATATCATTTTTAGTCAAATAATTATATTAGTCAATAGGGTATTAATCAAGTGCAAGGATCAGACTCATGCACTCTAGGGGCTAGTTTAGTATTATTGTACTGTTAAAAATTTTTGTTGTTGTTGTATTGTTAGTAATAAGTTGTTGTGACCAGAAGCATAAAATGTATTTGGTAAATATTTGTACAAAGCTACTGTGAGTACCAGAAGTAGAAATTTACGTGTTTGATAAACTGTGTATAAAATTATTGTTAAAATGTATAATGATGAAAGTAGTTAGTTTTATTTTTATTTTATGGTCAATACTCATAATGTAAAAAATATATTTTAAATTTTATTAATTAAAATAGTTCTTAAAAATAAATTACTTTTATTTAAGGAGAAAAAATTATTCCCCTATTAATATTTATTATTGTTATTTTTAATTATTCTGATAATTATTAAAAATATTTGAATGAAATTTAGCCTAACATACTTATTAAAGATTTTCAATTTTTAAAAATCTATTTCAAAAATATATATTTTTTATTTTGGTATGAAAAATAAAATAAGTATATTGAGAATTAAGTTTTATTATTAAGGTTATCTTGGTAAATTTAGATAATGACAGCAGAAGCTATTGTGTAAAAGCAACCTCTTACCTGTTTCTCCAATTCTGCTATTTGACAGCAGTTTTTAGAAGTTGTTAGACAAAAACATGATTTACTAAACATTCTAAGCTACTGTAGTTTCTTTAAAAAAGCTAAAAGCAATGTCAAATGGGTCTTAAAAATAAATTTAATAATTTTCTTCAGATTTAATCATAATCCGGAAGAAATAATATCACTAAGGACATAACTTTTTTTTTTTTTTAAATATTGAAATAGCTATAGAGAAGCACAACTATTTGCCTCATATGTATATGGTTCTCGGTAATTTTTTTTTTTTTTTTAATGATGAGTCCCAGACTCCCAGTTAGGTTGGTACCTTTCTAATGAAGTTCTCCATAATTCCCTCTGGTAGTGTTGCTATTGATTTAGTGTCATTTGTTTTTATAGATTTAAGCATAAAATTTGAATCAAAGTTAAATTTTTATAAGACAAAATACTTCAATAAAAAAAAAAAAATTGAACTATATTTCAAACCTGTGAATCAATCGCCACTTATGGTAACCAATCACAATCATGCTATCTTGGCAGCTATAGAAAACTAGCTAGCATCTTTTCTTTTCTTAGAAATTTTGAATTGGTCAAATATTGCAAGACATGATATAGCCCAGAACAAAATAGGCAACAAAGTGCTTAGAACATTATGTCAATTTTTATGTCCCTATGAGACTTCTGTCCTCCACAAGTACGTGTTTCATTCAATTACATTGACTGTAGTTTTCTTTGCTACATGTACATTAATGAACCGCTTGGTAAGAAGTGAAAGATTTTTTTCTTTTTTTTTTTTTTTTTTTCCTGAAAAGAGTGAGACCTTTTTAAACTTTGGACCCGTTCAGTTCGCTAATTTGAGTTGAAATGTAATGTTGTGTGAGAGCTTTTTACTGTAGCAAAAAAGTTAGATGTGACTGTTTCTGAGAGCTTTTTACTGTAATAAAACTCGAATTAGTGAAATGAACGGGAAACTTTGAATTTGTTTTTCTTTCTCGTAGCTTTTGACAATTAGCTAGTCTTACTCATTTCCATAAAAACAGCTACATGCCGGACACTATATTAACTATTATAATTTTACGTAAGAATATGTGTGAAATCTACAGATTGGAAATTCAAGTTCTATGTCAACTTACTATGTCCCAAAATATGTGCATTTTATAATGCCCTAAACAAGGTTAAGACTATTCATTAGCGGGCTCTATGCGAAAAGGACATAATATTTAAACAAATTAATAAGCTGAAAAAAAAAATGTAAGAACTTGGACATAAGTTTCAGCAATATTAATAATTTGTCATAAAAAGGCTAGGGTAGAAATGGGGAAATAAACAAAGAATAGTCCAACTCATCCATCGCATTAAAATATTTGGCTGCATATGCACATTGCAAACGACATATCAAGGAATTCAAATAGCGTTCGTTCACTTTCTTATCATATTTTATATATTTACGTAGGCAAAACTAGATGGTTTTTGGTTGTCCTAGAGTAGAGGCTGATCTGCTAAAGATATTGACCATGCCAGGGGCATGCCTCCCGTGACAAAGGGGCCGCATTATATAATAGATTATATATCTTTGCATTTTAATCTCCTATATATATGAGGCTAAGATTGCTCATAATTGTGAAAATAGGCCAATAATATATTACCGTGAGAGTGACCCGTCAAAAAAAGGTGCAACCTTGATATATTGACATCATATAAATATTTCTATGAACTGTTTCTCTATGTACATATATGGATGTGGTCATATACCCCGAATCTTTACAAGTGGTGCCCTTCGCCTTAAAAAAAACAAAACAAATACAAAAAATAAAAACAAAAACAAAACAAAATAAAAAGAAAGATTTTTTTGGTGGAAACTGAAAAAATAAATTATCATCAATATGATTATGTTTTTAACGGTTAGAAAAATATTTTCTGCATGCATTGTATTCTGATATGATTTTAATCAAATTTAACTAAT